ATCAAGACAGTTTGTGGCAGGTGACTCGAGAACAGCCCTCCTGTGCCCTGTGACACCCACTAACGCACGTGCCGGCGAGCAGTCATTCTGGGGGCTTTCCCGTGGAAGCAGGGCTCTCCCGGACGCACCACGGGACCCGGTGTGGGTCCCACTTCTCCACAGTGGGTTCCCCTTGATTTTAACAGCGAGCACTCAGAGGTACAGAGCTAGCTGGTGACGATGAATCATGCTGTTCTGCAACTCCAGTTTTCCCACTGGCCATAAACTAATAAAACTGCTGTCCTGAAATAGCCTACTCTGGACTTAACCTGCCTCGCTGCACAAGGAACCTAAAGAAGTTTATGAAGACAGTCACGGAAGTAAACTTTAATGACACTGGACGGGAGAAGGAGGATGAGAATGCGAGGAGTCAGAGACTATGGCCACGAAGTTCACCCCTAAACTCTCAACTCTTGCTGCTGGTGAGCCACAAATTTAAACTGTTAGCAGCTAATTTGAAGAGAGACAAACAGTTAAAAGATTCAGGGTTTATAAGAAACAAGTCAGAAGCACCACCACAGCTGCTTAGAACACAAGCAGCACCACACTCCCAGGCAGAAGTGACAGGGCCCTCTCCCTGGGGAGGCTCCACAGCGGGCGTGGTGGCCTCAACGCCTCCTCTCTCAGGGTTAGGTGACGGCTTCTCCGGGCAGGTTCCTACATGCCCCCAACAGAAGCCGAGGGAATCCCACAGGGCAATTCAAGGAAGGTGGCTCCAGGGAGGACACTGTGACATGGTTCCAGTACACACTTACTAGTGGGCTAAACCACGTACTGACTTCAGAGGATCTTAGCAGCGGGTGCCGAGCACCCTTTGGACAATTCTGTTAAAACTCTGTCTCTCAGGCAGGCTTCTGGCAACGGAGTTCAAGGCCGTCCTGACAGAGTAAAGAGCCGCGTGCTCTAACCATCAGCAGGACGGGGTTGGTGCTGACCCCTCTAGTGAAGGGACAGGAGCCTAAACCACTGGTCAGCGCACGAGGCCCCTGCCCCCATGGGGCTCACACAGCAGAGCTGACTGTGGGATAAGGTGCCCGCGTCGTGGCTGCCCACCACCGTCACCGCTGCCACTGGTGAGGAAAAGCCATCAAGGACGTGAGCTGGCTCCTCATGACAGAGGCAGCACAGCAACACTACGACTCCCCCCCAGCTAGCAGCACTGAGCCCTGATCCACGCTGGGCACCACGCCCAGGCTCGGCACACACCTCCTCCCAGGAACTGTGGGACGCTGGGACCCAGAAAGGTCGAGGCCTTGCTCAAGGCCGCAGCCCTAGAACTGGCAGAGACAGGATTTGAATGCAGGCAGGCAGACCCCAGGGACTCTACTGAGTCCCCCAACAGAGCGGGTATCACAGAAACCCAACACCTGAGCAGCACTCTCAACACTTACAGCAAACAGACAAAAAGGAGCTGTCCCAGTGGGTCCTGGCTGGTCCTCACTCGGGGGAAAGAGCTCGGAAGGAGAGCCTCACCCCACAGGCACTCACTGCTGTCACACTAACACATGACGTGAAGAAACGGCCCATCTGGCCGTGGCCAACACTTAGAAAGTTCGGGCCAGCACTGGCCAGACCGCAGCCGGCTGGGTTCCAGGAGCCCTTGTTGTGCCCCTGGTAGCCCCGTCTCCTACGTCTCCAGTGCAGCTCACGTACGAGGGACACAGGTGAGGAGCAGAAGGGGCCAATAATGATCAGAGACCAACTCAGAAACCACAACCTTCACGCAGAAGCAATGGAATTTGTTAACTCCCTGAAAACAACCTACATAAATGGACGTGAAGCTGTTCACCAGGGCCTGTGCCCACATACTTTAAAGGCTGGCAACAAGGTCAGTGGTGACTACGGCTCTATGAAATCAACGTACCAGCCTGTAAACACAAACCCCCAGGCAATAAACACACTAACATCCAGTGCCCAGTACGTGCCAACCTTCCTACCCTTGCCCCCAACCTGCATCTCCAATGGCGTTTCCCTGTGCTCATCCAGTGGTTCGTCTAGCTCAGCAAATCAGACGGACGACAACCAGGAACCCATGTGGCACAGTAAGTCGGAAGCACCCCCACCACATGCCAGCAACAGCAATTAGGTCTACAGGGGGGACAGGCTTGCAGCTCAGACGTCCTGGTGGCCGGGCCCCACTCACCATTGGAGAGCGCTTGCTGGAGCTCACTGTCGGATATCACACCGCTCCGATCTTTATCGACCCTACAAAATCAAGAGCAGTTCAGCTGGCGATTAAAAGTGCACAGAAAGCACAAACATTTAACCCCTCTGACCACCACCCCACGCAGGTTCTGGCATATTCCTTCCCATGGACCCTTCGCTTTGCTCTGCTGGAGCCCCTGAACCCATCCTCAGCATGCCATCTGCCCAAGGCCAAGATGCTTCTCCCCAAAGAGGCCAAGTCATTTCCACACTCATTCCCCTTCTCAGGACTTTCTCTCTGATTCTGCCTTGGCCTGTGTAAATCCACCCGCACCAGTTTCTCTCTTGTTCACAAACAGGAAAAGATTCTCAGTCAACTAAGTCACTCCCTGACCATGAGTCACTCAAGTTTCGGTCATTCATTCAGTGGAAGGACAGCCATGGACAGAAAGAGCTCAGGTAACGGTCAGCTGCCCCGGCAGCCATCACGTCCCCGCTTCTTTCCTGGCTGCTGGCATTTTAACGGTGCTGGGTTTGTTTCCGTTTTTCTAAAACTAGCATTGCCTGGAGACCACCCAGAGCAGCAAGAACTCGTCCCCGAAACTGGGGGCCTTTGGCTGTTACCAGGAGGGAGACAAAGGCCAAGATCCAGGGCGTCTTGGGAAGGCTCTGAGACAGCACAAAGGGGCTGGAGAGATAGAGCAGCAGGCTCAGGGGGAGGCCAGGGAGAGGCTGAGGGGCATAGAGCAGGAGGCCGGGGGAGGGCCAGGGGAAAGGGCGCAGCAGGCCGGAGGAGAGATGGGAGGAGAGACCAGA